GCCATAGTGCACTGGCGCATTACATAACCGGATGGTATGAATGCGAAATCACAAAATGAGCTCTAGTTTAAAGTGATACTCACAAACACCGTAAGAATGGTAAAGTGATAAGTATGCTCGTTCACTCAATTTGAGACTGTCGATTGTTTTCCTTTTTCACTCTGGAACAATTTTTTAAAAGCATCATTCAACGACATGCAGACGACCTACGCTCATTCCCTTCATACTGTTTCATGACTAAAATCGCTTTCGACCTGCGCCTAAAAGAAACCATATTTTTCATCAGAACGGTGTAAAGTTGGAGCTGGTGAAATAATGTCACTCATGAGCAAAGCAAGAAATGTTTATTGCCGTTTCGTGAGAACAAATGAGCCTCGAAAGTAAACTTTGTCTCGTTGTGAGGCGTCATGAATTTTCTTCCTCACCTTCCTCTGTGACTTGAAGTGAACTTGCTTCGATCACAGCTGTTTTTGCTATTGTTCCCTCAAGTATACGCCAGCTTGTCGTTTTGTTTTAATTTTAAACTGTTTGCGCGTTAACGAGGCTGCCTAAAACCTAAAACTTTTTCATTCTAATTAATTTAAACTAGAGTTCAATGTACGAATAGTCCTCGGATAAATTCCTTTAACGCCCTCGGAATTTCTTCGGTCGTCGATGTAAGTATAAGCCTAAGCACCCATGATAGTTCACGACAGTAATTGGACTAGCAATTAATCAGCGATATTTCGATCAACCAGCAACAGTGTCAACGAACGCTCTGTTGGTCGGTTGAGATGTTTGTTTACATGTAACCGTTATCAAAATTCACGCATTTCTAACAGCCATGGAGAATGTAAATTTTAAAATTTGATTTAATATCATTTAACAGTACGGGACTTTGAGACCAAAGGACAAACGGAAACTGAGGTTGAACGTTCATGTGTGAATAACGATAAACTTGAATAACGAACGTTTGCAGATTGACAAACTATAAAAGGATTAAATTCGATTGTCCTTCTTTCTCTGTTCACTATGAGCAAATGAAATTGCGTTAAAGCTTAGAATGGTTAATTCAGTTTAAGAAAAATCGCCTTTGTCCCTGCACAGGTGGGGTCAGAATACATGGCGGGTTGTTTCAATTTGGTGAGAAGATGGAAAATCGCAATCCATCCTTCATAACGTGGCTCAAACGGAGGGAAGTAAAGGGTTGTATTGTGCGATAAGAAGATACCCATCAAACTAAAGGGAATTGTGTACAGGTGAACGATATTAATGACCGGTAACCTCTGCATGGAATGGAAGGTCTGAGGTCTACCTTCAGGAGAGACTAGCGACGGCGAAACTCGGTTGAAATGTGAATGCTGGGATAAATGTGTGATGTCAGCAAAGAGGACCATATCCAAAACATTTTCACAAGATAAAAGTGCTTTACGTGTAGCACCAGTTTGTGAAAAGTGATAGAAAGCAGGCTTTTTGGTTTGGCCATATGAGAAGAAGACCAAACGAGCACGGAAACTGATGCTGCAGAGGAGGAAAGAGGGGGAGGACCAAAGAAAAGCTGGCGCGATGTATAAAGAACGATATATAAGCAAGCGAGGAATGACCGAAGATTTAACCAAAGACCAAAAAATATGAGAGGCGGCGTATTCTCGTTAACGGGAACACTTTGAAAGAAAGCAGGAGATGAAAACTGTTCAGCTCATGCACTTTATTCATGCTTCATACACAACTTGGTGCCGTGTAACCTTGGCAAGTTAAACGTACTGATGAATGCTTGTGGGTTCACAAACACATTGGAGGGGTTCACCCCTTCTGCCAGACGCCAGCGGCCAGAACAGTTCACTGTCTCACGCCGTGCCGATTTCCAATTAGTGTAGTTAAAATCGAAAATTGAGACGAACTTAAAATTTCGCTTCCGTTCAGGCTCCATTTTCTGTTCATCATGCTTTGCCGTGCTCGCTGCACCGATTGCACAAATTACAGGCGAGCTTGACTCGTTCAGAAGTTTCTGTTTTGTGTGCTTACTCCAAAGGAGTAGCTACCTCGCAATGTGCAAATTTCTTTCCATGTTTTATTCTCATCTTCACTCAACATTTGCTCGATGCAGCTTTTCTGGTGTCTGCACCCCGATTTGTTTATTTTATCAATTGTTCTATTCGTCACAAATTGGACCAGGAAGTTTTATTATTCGGTGCCCTTATATGCCTTTCTAGTGTCTGAAAGTTTGCCTAATTGATGGTCTGTTTGCACTAATGAAGATGCACATTTTCCCGTGGTTTTTGGGTGGCCATTGGCCATCGATTTCTTCTTGATCGTTACCTTGTGAAATGAAGCATTTAACGTGGTCGGACGAATCCATGTTTCTAATTTATTCCCTCCATCGAGGCATGCTCCGCAATCGAGTTCACTCGTTGAGGCTTATTTTTTGCGTCATCAAATTAGCAGACCCGACAACGACGAGCCATCCAATTTGTTTTCGGCGCTCTGCCTGATTTTGTTACCGTTTTGTCGTCTCCTAATGCACATTTCGTCTTCTTGATGGATACTACGGCTACTTCTGACCCGATCATTCTATAAAACTTTCGAGTTGCTTCCGGCGTATCGGTGAATCTTGGAGCTTTTGAGTGTTGACCGCGACTTTAGCTTAATTCTCTATCTAATTGAGGTACTGATCTGTCTCTGTCAAATAAAGACCTTGGGAAACTCCGTATCTCATGTAATGACGACCTGTACAAATCTGGGAATATTTTCTGGCTTATATTTATTCAATTATTGATAAATCGGTATGGTTTTGGAACGGCTGCATAAATGATTTGCAGTGCGGGGGATCTCGTTGTTTATCCAAATGTTAGAACTTGTTTACTTATAATTTTTGTTGTAAACAAATCTAATTCTTACCGAGCAGGAAGATTACGAACGCCTTACTTGCATTATGATCTCTGCCAGCAATGGAACAGAGAACAAAACTGGCATATGTGCATCGTCATCCTGATACCAACAAGGACACTGTTTTCAGCATTGGAAATAAGTAGATTACAGAATGATATGTTACCCTCCTGGCTCATGATATGAACAATAAGACTGCAGTAACAGTTTGAGGTACATGGGGCGAAATAAAAGAAAACTCAGGTCGGATGGCTTGAAGCGATGATATCGAAAAATAGGCAGAAATGAACATCATGCATCATCATTCGCAAGTAAGGCATCCGAGAAGAGGATGGAAGTCATGGAATTTCATTGCATATACGACAGCCATGTAGACCTGCCACGAATTGAGGAACAATCGCTTACATACGTACCATAGCCGGAAGTTTGCGCACCTCATTGGGCTTCAAACCAACCATATACTGCCACTGAACTGATGGCCTTAATGGATGGTCTCAGTTTAAAGTTTTTACAATTGCTTTCGCCATTTTTTCACTATTTCAGCAGTCTATGACGCTTGCATAAATATATATATGAATTTTTCAAGAAATAGAACAGACTTCCATTTCCTGTCATTTGACTGCGGGATTCACTGAATCCAGTGTTGCTGTATATGGTCAAATGATTATCCCCTTCTTACATAATTGTGAATTCTGTTGGGTAAGGAACTTACCTTTCATTGCTTTGGCACGACCAGCTGATAAGCGAGTTGTTTTCTTGCGAACAGTAATGGCAACATGGTGTTCTGGTGTGGTCATCGCAGACGATACTGCGAAAGGTGCAAGCGCTTCATAGTGCTGCAAATAGTTGCACCTGATAGCTGGTTATTCGATGTTATATTATATGTAGGTGTTAACCACTCTTTTTGTTGTTCAATTCTGGAAGCTGATAACATAACAGCGAAATCTACATACAGTAATACGACTGAAGCACTTTTGAAATAGAGCGTGAAAAATAGCGGGCACGAAAGTTTCGGCAGTTCGACTTTCAGTTGAATCAACGGTTCACGAGGTCGTTTTTGAATTGATGAAGTACCTGCCTTTTGACGGAAGGGCCACGTGCCAGGTTTTCTGTTGAGCAAGTGTCAGCTGTCTTGTCTGACAGCGGTTCGATTATTCCGCTCTTTGAGGCTTTTCTTTTGACGCACAAATCACAGATGTTTTCAAAATATCAGATGAGCGAAGGAAGACATACGATGAGTACATGTAATATGTCGTAAATTCTGTGAAAGATCAGACGGAAAGGCAATAAGGGTGCCTAACGGCATCGGTCGGTGTCATTACCATAAAAATAATGTTCGACTCACATTTATAGGTACATTTAAACAAGTGTATTCCATGTGGTTCCTGCGATCATCGATCGCCTTACACTAAAACCAGTCCGTCTCCTTATGAGAATCTCCATTCCTAAATGTTGCATTTAAAGGTAGCGAACAGTTGGATAAGAAGTTAATGTATTTATGAATATTGCTCGTTCACATCAATGTATATGAAGGGAGGTACTCTCATTAGAAAGCACATGATTTTTGTCGCCATTATAGCATAGTAATCTTGAATTTGAACAACGATATTGTTGAAAACTATCGGCTGCTGCGGATGACCAACCACATTCACGAAACTTTACTCCCAACCTACCTTGAAGAAGGCCTGTGAGACACTGGCCGAAACGTCGTTAGTGGTCAGTCACAGGACAGACCGCAGTATCTTTTGCGTTGTGTATAAGTAAACTGTGTTTGACGCTATTTTTCAATGGTTTGTTTTATTGCAATTGCTCGAGGATCGCAGCTATGCTTTAGGATTTTCGTCGGTGTCGGCAAAACAAAGCTTCCATGTCGTCCCCGCTAACAAAACCGTGGTCGAGGGCGAAGACTTCGTTATTCCTTGCGTCATAAGCGACCAGTTTCTCTTGGGCAATACCTACTGGACAAAGGGCGGAATGCCTCTGGGTTTTGCCTCGTGTTGTTGCGAAACCGATGTTTTGTGATTTGTGAGCTTTTAGGATTTGAGTACAGTCTGCCCGGCTATGAAAGGTACTCTGTGGTGGGCAACCACGCCGTCGGCGAATACACCCTAAAAGTGATCGATGTAAGTGCATAATATTATTCATTTTTTTAAAGGGAAAACATTGTGAACGCAAGTTTTTTTCTTAGACTGGTAGCATTTTTTCTCCCGTGATCTAAAAAGCTTCTAAAAATATCTCATATTTTTGTACGATACATTGTTCTGATCTGCGGTTCGAGTCATTAAGTCAAAAGCAAAACGAAACGTTTAATTTGACTGATTTCGTTATGACAAGGGCCGTAACATCCTCAGATGAATAGCATTCAACTCGTAATTTTGTTCTGGTAAACCTTAAACGAATTAGGACAATGAGCAGATTGAGAAATGCGTATTTTTTTTCATTTAATACTAGAAAAATTTGTCAAGTTGAGAATTATTTAACATTCTGTTTTTAAATAAACAAATAAACATGCTATTGCTTGAGAAAATTATTTTTTCAGGCAAAAATCGAAGACGAAGCGGATTATGAGTGCCAAGTGCTTCCGGAACCTGGTGACGAAGAGGGTCTTCGAGGAGTTGCTTTTGTGACTGTCTTAGGTGAGAGTTTTTTCATCTGAAACTTGCAAAATTCCCGTAGGAGCAGATTCATCTTATTCATATTCGAACGTAAATCGATAAGCGTAATGTTGCGTAAAAGCGAAGTATAACACTTCATATAGCTGACGATGCAGCATTGTTTCATTTTCTGAGGCATCGACCGTGAGTGTCTTATTTAAGGCGATAACTGCAGGCAGGATTCAGGCGATGTTTGGCTTGATGTTTCTTTCAAAACTATAGCATTTATTTAATTGTTCATTCATTTTCCTACCTGGCGAGGATGAAAGGCGCGTTAGTACGCCAAAATTTGAGCCCGCGATTTTTCGACACGGAGTTTGGAATCCCACCGTTTGATCCATTCTGACCGAAATGCAACGAAACGTTACCATTCAGAAAATTGCCAATTCATTATTGCAATAAAAAGTAGGTTATTAATATAGTTTTCTGCTGCCAAAGAAATGTTTAATGAGTCAAAGTAATACATGATAATTTTGACTGTGATCTAAAGTACTGCTTCAGTCCCGCCAAAATCAGTGAAGCTACCGAATATCGACAATGGAGGAAAGTTGTCGGCCCATTCTGGCAGCACCATCGAAATCGTTTGTCAGACGGATGGCAGCAATCCGGAAGCGGAGATTCGTTGGTACAGGAATAGCGACGTAATTGGTAATTGATTTTTATGTCTATTTCGTCGACTGTAACTTTCTGTTCTGTAGCTGCTGCGAAGACATGGAAGAAAAAGCTAGAAAACAGTCTGGTGTCAACGATTTCACAGATTCGCTGGCCAGTGGCAAAAAGTGATGACGGGTCGATGTTCATCTGCCAAGCTTCCCACCCCGCTTTTCAAACCGGACAGTTCATCAGAACAAACGTCACGCTATCGGCTATATGTAGGCACTGATTTCTTACACTATATGCGAATCATTTGTACTGTAATTTACACCACTTTTTCAGTATTTGTACTTTGTGTAACAAGTCCCTTCCAAAGAAATGTTACAAGACCTTCATCCACATCAGTCATCAAAGAATGCGTAGTAATGTCCTTTCACCGTAGGTAAAGAAAAGGACTGTTACAAATGTGACAACAAGAATTTGCTGAAGAACGAATGACCCCATGGGTGCGGCAAACTTCACTTATTAAGTATATTCATTCCAGATTTCTAACCCTTTCTTTCTTAATCTATTGTTGTAAGAACCTATATTATGTATTTTCAAAGTAAATCATTTCATCAAGCCAGCTGCCCTCAGATTGAAGGGCGACATCTTGCGAGCCAGCTGACTGACACCTTTGCCATCTCCACTTTCAAATGGCAGGAACAATGTACTTAAGAAGTACTCCGACCATATCTGAATTCGCAATTGTCTGTCATTTGACAGGAAGAACGGCCTCCATTGCCAAATGCGAGGTTGCGAGCCGTGTCTGGGCTTTCAGAGAGTGTTCACCTGATATTGCTCAGTTTTCGACCGCTGATGAAGCCTAAAAATCTGTGGACCCCGCAACGTGGTTTTCACCGCACGAGGGGAATCCGTATTCTAGGTAGCTTTTACCTCCTTCCTCGGTTCCTTTACTGGACTTATAAGAATTCAGGAACATTGGTTGCAGATGTTCAACCGAACATCACAACCACGTGTCTAATTCAGCTCAGTTACAATGCTGCAACGAACCCGCGATGACGTCACTAAAATAAAATGAGGTTTCCTCATTTAATACCTTCATTTTTGACATTGTTCAGGGAAAGATATGAAGAAGTTGGTAAGACAGAACATTCCCCAAGTTGTTTGGACGGCGAAGAGTAAAAAGAGAGGACATGACAACAGCCGACATGGGATATGATAACACTGCGTAATAACATAGCTGTTAAGTTTTTTCATACCTAACTTTTTCCCTTTCTTAAACTAAAGATAACGAGTTCAATATTTTAACATAATTTATAACTTTCACTGTCTCGCCATTTGGAGGTCAATATCAGGGAGAGCTGTGAAATTACATTAAAAGATCACGCGCCATGTTTATCATCTTTCAGACCCCAGGAGAGCATTTACATTACTTTTGAAGACTTCAAGGTAGTGTCTTGTACTGATCGATAGATTGAACAAACAAGATAAAAATTTCCAAGCTTTTTCTCACGGCTGGATGTTATTGCGTATATATTTTTTTTGAAAACTTAGTTCCTCCTTCCGCCCTGAAGATTCAGGGATACGATGGCCGGACCCTTAAAGCTGGTGAACGAATCCATTTGCAATGTGTGGTCAACAATGGAAACCCTTTGCCTGAGGTGCTGTGGTATCGCAATTCGAAACTCATCGATCGAACGTATATCACCAATCCGGTGGTGAGTCGGTCTAAACCCTTTGAGTAAAGCCACCTTTGACTTGATTCTTCTTTCTAGACGTCGGTCAATGACTACGAATTCGCCGTCGATGCCAGCGACAACGTTGCCGAATACAAGTGCCAGTCAAGCAACGCTGCGACGTTTGCCCCTCTGTCTGAAGTTGTGCGGCTTAAAGTTTTCTGTATGGTCCTCTTACTTAACATTAAATGTTGATCGATGTTTGTTTTAAAGATCCTCCTGAAAGCGTGGAATTATCTGGTCCGGATTCAGTTAAAAGCGGTGATTTCGCTCAGTTCTCCTGCCACACCAGTGCGTCTCATCCGCCGGCAAAAATTTCATGGATCGTTGATGGCCGACCCGTTGCCAGCGCTTCATTCGTCGTCCGACCTGCTACTGAAAATGAAGGCATGCAGTTTGCCTTTTCTTCATATGTATTTATGCCTTAAAGCTGATCTTTAAGGATTTTATACCTCCTCAGAAATAAACATCCAGATTAGCGCCAAAAAACGGGACGTTGCCATTTTGTGCTATGCTTC